CTGCGTATTCTTTACCAATGATATCAGACATGAATGACTTGTAATTTTCAAAGAAGGAAGGATTTCTACGCATTTTGCGTTCTAAGATCGTAAGATGATTCATTCAATGATGTTGACTATTTACCTTTTCTATGAACCTTCTATCTTCCTGAGAAGGCTCCCTTTTGTCATCTATGATATTCTCAGGGAAGTCTCTGTTTATTGAGCTTCTTACCATTTGGTCAAGCTGGTTGAGTTTTTCCATCTCCTGGATAGCAATAACCTCTGTTCTGTTTACCGCAAATCTTGTTTGGATGGTTGACTTGTCTACTTCTCTAACTATGTTCCAGTATCCAACCAATGCTGTCCGTGAGGCATGTGAGTACCACGAGGACCTGTTATGGTTTGTAGAGGGGTATAGGCATCTGGAACATTATTCCCGATTAACAATCCCACTTCTGCCTTGATCTCTGCAGTTTATTATCTTGTAGGTGAGACCACTGGGAAATATCTTCTTGTTTATATGATGCAATGAGACTGGTATAGACTCTTTTGTGTACACCTTCAGGAGAGTAATGATATCTCTGTTCTCAAGATCACAAACCTGCAAACCACTGATGATTGAGGTGTTCATAAAATAAGGAGTTCCCATTGTATCCAGGACTATTTCTGCTTGCTTTCAGTGGAGACCAAGTTTCTTCACCAAACTTTCTCTGCAAAAAGTAACGCTACTGCCTGAATCCAGAAATGCATAAGTCTCTATTGCGATATTCTTCGCTTTCACCATTACTGGTATGATAACGAAAGTGCATTCCCCATCTCCCCCAAATGACACGAAACCTGTTCAGTGAGACTTGCACAAGCAGACAATGCATTTTGTCTGTCTCTGGTATACCTTTAATTTTGCCTTCCTCACTTTTCAAAGGACTATAATTGTCATCATGTAAGACTGTAGGGTGCTTTCGTTTGTGCATGATGCCTTTATACGACACTCTCTTCTCTGGTGACCTGCTTTTAAACACCCAAAACTGAAGCCATGGCTCTTCAAGAAATCCAATTTCTTGCTGATTAACTGCTGAGGAAATCCTCCACAGGCATCCATAGAATGATTATTTTTCCCACATAAAAGACAGGGCCTGATGGCTGCATTTTTAGCACACTGGTTATCATGGGTGTAGCTATTTGCGTTGTTTTTATTATAACTAGTAATAGGTGTGCTATGAGCACAATACTACTAATTATTCATATTTCACAGAAAGCGCCACTTGTCACTGCTGAAGGCTAAGGAGTTTTTGAAAAATGGAAGTTACGTGGATACACAGAGATATTATTTTGCTGCTGCAAGTATTACTGAAGATATGATGCAAGCAGTTATAAAGGTAAATAAATCAAAATAATGTTCATATTCAATGTCCACTCCTTGTTAGAATCATATGCACAAAATTATGCTATGTTTAAATTCAATTTATTCTTGCCATCTTTCCTTGCATGTGCTTCTCTTGTAAGAGCATTGTCTTATCCAAGTTCTTCATATTTTAATGATTATTGACCCACACCATTACAGATTACCATCAAGTATGATTTAATTGTTGTTGGTCCAACATAGTAAATGCCTCATAATAAGTGTTACTTATTTTCACCCATTTACAGTCACTGCAAAACCATGATACAAGGCAGACGCACAAATGGCGTACCTTTGCATGTCTGGGAAGGTGGAAGATGTGATCACAGAATATTCTGATGTACTTGTGTATGGTGCATCAAAGGTATTGCAAATCAGATAAATATTGTTAACTGTTTTAATTCATAATACAATGGCAACCACTCCAGAAACACTTGCTACTTCATTTTTTCAATTTATTGCGGTGTACATTCTACTAGCTAATTGAAAATATTTCTGTTTCTTCAGTTTTTACCAAAACTGACATAGATAGC